CTTGGACCTGCTTTTCTAACAGAAGCTGAGAAAGTTGTTGGCTGGGCCAAGAATCACCATCTGGCTTCTTGCCTACTTCCATCCGTAGAAGGGGAAAGATTGGTCTTGCCTCGCCAGAGGTGTGTATAATATATAAGTTATTGCTGTTTTTAGTGAAATTTTGTTCTTGTTTACATGTTAAAGAGCTCTCTTCAAAGCTTAATTGTTTTTTTTTTTTGGGGTACATGAAGCCTTGAAGTTGCTATCTTGAGGTTGAAAGATCACGAAATCGCATCAAGAAAGCCATCTCAAAGTTTGAAGGCATGTTTTGTATTTTCTGTCTTATCTCTTTATTGTGTGGCTTGTGCTTTGGGGTTAACATTCTTGTCTAATTTGTTCAAAATTTGACAGAACATGGCAAAGGATGAATATGAAAAGAACTTTGTTTCAGCCGTAGTACCGCCTGGGGAGATTGGTGTGAGATTTAATGATGTAGGAGCTCTCGAAGATGTCAAGAAGGCCTTGAATGAACTTGTCATTCTCCCTATGAGGAGACCAGAACTTTTTTCTCATGGGAATTTACTGAGGGTATTGAATTTTTATGCTAACAAAATGGATCTAATCTTCTCAATGCTTTGCCAATTTGATTGATTATTCTGATAAATTTCTTCCAGCCTTGCAAAGGAATATTGCTTTTTGGACCTCCTGGAACTGGGAAGACGCTTCTTGCTAAAGCTCTTGCCACTGAAGCTGGGGCAAACTTTATCAGCATAACAGGCTCCACTCTTACATCAAAGGTATGCTGAAGAAACTATATTCTATTATTTGAACATATGTTGCTCATACTTGTCAGTTCATTTTTTTACCTTTGTATGCATGTAATGGTCCAAATTGGTTCGTTTATCTTTTCCTCATAGAGATAAATTAGGGTCTTATTGCTCCCCAGTTAGCATGCATTTCAGACTGGATTACATCTGCCCTACTCTCTTCGGTGGGTTTCTTAGCCTCCTTAATTTTGTGATGTAGTGGTTTGGAGATGCCGAGAAGTTAACGAAGGCCCTTTTCTCGTTCGCCAGCAAGCTGGCTCCTGTTATCATATTTGTTGACGAGGTGATTCCCTAAATCACTGTCTGTTTTACTTGTGGTGTCCCAATCTTTGATATTTGATGATCGAAATACTGAAAAAGAACCAATAATGTTTGGAAGAAATAATTATTATTGCATAGTCATAATTTAACTCATTGAATTGAAGTTTTTTCTTTTGTGGATATCTGGGAGGTAAAAGGCTTTCTTTTAACATCACTTCTTACGTCCTTCAATATGCTTGACATAGTACATATTGCCGTCTCACAATCTGCAAAATAGGTTAACTATTAGTGCAGCCATTTTTCTTTTACTGCTTTCGAACAACCATAACTTGGTCTTTCTTCTGGACTTTGGACTTCTTATAACTTGGGAGGACAATAGGTTGACAGTTTGCTAGGTGCACGCGGTGGTGCTTTTGAGCATGAGGCAACGAGAAGAATGAGAAATGAGTTCATGGCGGCATGGGATGGATTGAGATCCAAAGATAGTCAAAGGATCCTCATCCTTGGCGCTACAAATCGACCATTTGATCTTGACGATGCTGTGATTCGTCGTTTACCTAGGAGGTAAGACTTTTATAGGAACAACGGTCTTCTGTGTAGAACATTAGTTTTCATACAAGGATGCCATTTTAATTTGTGTATGTGGAGCGAAAACTGTTTCTCTTATGGAGCTTCTTATGAATCGGCTATTTCAGAATATATGTTGACTTGCCTGATGCTGAGAATCGTATGAAGATCCTGAAAATAATTCTCGGAAATGAGAATTTACAAACGGATTTCCAGTTTGAAGAACTTGCTAATGCAACCGAAGGATACTCTGGCAGTGACTTAAAGGTACCGAAATGTGTGATGGTTAACACGGGTCTTTTGATTGCATAACGGCAGACTGTTCATAACATTGTGTTCTGTTTCCCTTCTGTAGAACCTCTGTATTGCAGCAGCATATCGACCGGTGCAAGAAGTCCTTGAAAAAGAAAACACGGTAAATTTATCGTTGGCTCTATTTATACTGAAACATGAAATAGGTCCTCCTGTCAGTGTTCTGGCTTTGGCATGCTTGACTGCATGTTCTTCTTGGCCTTCTGTCCCGCTAACTTGCTCCATGGTATAGTTTAGCATACCGCCAACATAACAAGGTTTTTCGTGCTAATCTTTATAGGAACAGAAGGATGATGCTCAAGGTCCAGCATTAAGATCGCTCACCTTGGACGATTTTGTTCAATCGAAGGCTAAGGTGACTGAACAGTAGTGCCCCATTGCGACATTTTCTTACTGCAAAGCGATCTTGTGTTTGTCAAGTGGGGTTGCTTGATTGTTCTCACACCCTTGTGGTCTTAACAGGTTGGTCCCTCGGTTGCATTCGACGCCGCGAGCATGAACGAGTTGCGCAAATGGAACGAACAGTACGGCGAAGGAGGGAGTCGGCGGAAGTCTCCATTTGGTTTTTGAATCGAAACCAACGACATTGTATGATGTCTTCCCATCAAATTCTTTAGGAGAAATCATAGTCTTAGGAACGAAATAGGCAGAAGGAGATGAATGGAAACGTGAAGCCATATTCTTTCCTTTGTACCAGTCAGTAGCACAGCATAAGGACTTGGCTTTGGCAATGACAGCCCCGTGTACCATGTAACGTAATGAAATTTCAGGTTTATTTTAGTACTATATTTTCCTCTTTCAATGAGTGGATTTTAGCCCATAATCTATAACGGAATGAACTGTAGCATGTAGGGTGGGTGGTTAATTCACGGATTGATATCGATCCATCCGCAAATAACTCGATCTGCATGTAGTGGGTGATTGATGTGGGTGGATTGCGGATTGATAAATTTCCCATCCGCACTTATGTGGGTGGGTGGTGGGTGGATTGCAAGTCATCCATATGACCCGAATCCTATTTTTACATGAAAAAATGTGGTTTCTTATATTATCGAATATTCATTATATTTTCGAACTGCATTACAATCTGACCATATACTTCAAAAGGTGGAGAATAAATAATAGTTTTGACTACTACTGTCGGTCATTCTGTTGTGCAATATCCATTAGATATTGGATATTGGTATGCAGATCATTGTTAATAACCATTAAATATTGGGATGCAAACTATAAATTATTAATTGTATCAAAATCACAAATTATTGATACAGTCTTACAAATTATAAAGGTTAGTCAACCTTTTTAATGGCTAGATGGAGAATTGCTTTTGCGGGTTGACCCGCGACCCATCCGCCACCCACTCAACCCAACTCACAGAAGTATGTGGGTGGATTGCGGGTCACAATTATTCCAACCCACTAATAAATGGGTGGGTCAATTTGCGACCAAAACCCACTCAACCCACACGTTGCCCACCCCTAGTAGCATGCTTACAAAGTACAAACTAATAGACGATGAAATGCATTGTAGAATACTTGCAAAAATAAGCCCTAGAACTAGTTTTTTTTTTTCCTTTTACAATGAACTAGTCTTAATACATCGAATTATCACTTCTAAATTCTAATAAATGTATAACACACTAGGTCGTACACCTTCAAGTCTAAACCATAAGCCCAAATTGTAACCCTAACCTTAAAATTGTAAATCTTGAATGATCTTTTAGCATAACGAGCACACAAAAAAATAGTACACCAAAGACAAAATCACATACATTCATGTTGCTCGTTAAAGAATATTATATATTGTACGCATTACATAATTAGACACGAAAAATAAAAAAAAATTACACCTTATGAACCGATAATACTATAATCGTTAATAAAAATCAATATTATCTAAAACAAAGGAGATCGCCTAGGCACTCCTTTCCTTCTATGTTTACGTTTGCTGATGATTTCCTTGTCAACATACACTCTCTTTCTGCTGCCGTTATCGATGTTGTCGACCATCTCAACCTTCCTAACATTGTCAACTTCTTCTTCTTCTATGCAGTCCAACAGACTACAAGCGTTGTTCATCTGCAATCAAAATTAGTAACAACATGAGGGTTTTTTTCTTCTTCTTCCAACTTATTGTGATTTCATTCAAATCACATAAAATTCTACCAGTACAAACGAATGCGAGGAGAGTTACTAGAGAAGGCTAGAGCTATACTTACATATTTGCACTCAATGGAACAAAACTTGAAACTAGAACCTCCTTCTTGCTGTATCACCAATTCTCGGCCGCATTCTTCACACATTGGCATATCTCTATTGCTCAAAGTTTGTCCCCTCATTGGCCTTGCCTTGATGTAAACAACGTCCAAATAATTGATCTTGTAAAGCTGAATATGTGAGATGTTCAAGTACTCCCCAATAACCATGATTTTCAGTGTTTCGTACTCCGAAGCTTTATATGCCTTGATAAAATAAGAAATCAGACAAAATAAATAAAAAAAAACAATCATAAACTCCGACGAAAGAATAAAGTGTTTAATGACTTTCTCAACATTAAGTAAAATATGACTGGCTTACCTGAAAGACCAAGTGACTCTTGTGCTTACAATCTGATTTGTTGGTGCACAAATCACATAACATGGCGCCCTTGCAAGTTACGCAGAAGAAGTTGCACTTCCTGTGATTATGGCTCTCGCATTCGCCATAGAACTTTGCCTTGAGTAAAAGCTCCACTAATTCTTTTTTATCATCCATTACTGATACTCAATACTCTACTAATCCACTTCGTTGAACACATTCTCGCAATAGATTGCAGCGTATATATAGAGGCGGAAAACCTGATTTGGGTGAGTAAACTCCTTTTCTTTGCAGAGTTTTGGAGGTTAAATCCATAAAGGATTTTGATTTTTGACTAACAAAACATTGTTAGGATAGGATTAGAGATGTATGCAAGTATGGGCCGATCAGGTATAGGCTGTAAAAACAGGCCCATTAAATAAATACGGTCTTGGATTTTACCTTCTAACCTTTTTTGTGGAAATTTGCTGTTTCGCTACCTGGTTAGTCCAACCCGTTTACTTCCCGAAAATGTCATCGATTCTCTTTCGCTACGCCGCCCGTAAATCTGCCGCCGGCGGCGGCGGCCCCAATTTCCGGCAGGCCTTGTGTTATTCCCTCTCCCTGCTCGACGGCTCGACTGTCGGCGCATTGTCGGCAGGTGCGAAGCCTGAATTCTCGAATAATCAGCTTCTGCGCCACTTCTCGCGTTTCTCTCGTCTCGCTTCTAGTTCCGACTTCCCGCGGGAAATTGCGAGACCGTGCGGCCTGAATTTGAGGTTCGCGGGGAGGATTTCGACGCTATCGAACAAAGAAAATCGAGGCCAAGGGGAGGAGCCTTTGAAGGCGGAGGTTTCGTGGGTTGATCTCTACTTACCGAGATATGTACGGCCTTACGCCAAGCTCGCGCGGCTCGATAAGCCGATTGGGACTTGGCTACTCGCTTGGCCTTGTATGTGGTATGAGCTCTTCCTTTCTGTGTTGGGTTAGTTTCCGGTTTGTTGTAGCTTAGTTGGTTGCTGCTAGAGAGACCACATTGAAGTTGTAGGAGTACTGGTTGGTGTTCATTTGCTAGATTTTCAATTTTGTATGCGCCGATTGTGCTCGTCGTTCTTTCAGGTCAATTTCGATGGCGGCTCAGCCCGGCAATCTACCGGATATAAAGATGATGACTCTGTTTGGCTGTGGGGCGTTGCTTTTACGAGGAGCTGGTTGCACGGTTAATGACCTTCTCGACAGGGATATTGACACCAAGGTATCATATTATTAGCTGCCCTGCCCTGCTGAAGATTTCCATTGAATTCTGAGTTGGATAGCTACTTGCTAGCTTGCTCTGAGGAGATGATTGTGAGAGCTCTTGAAATGCAGGTAGAGCGCACAAGGTTAAGGCCGATTGCTAGTGGTCTTTTGACACCATTTCAGGGGCTATGTTTCCTCGGCTCTCAATTGCTTTTGGGTCTTGGAATTCTCCTTCAACTGAATGATTATAGGTTGGTTGTCAATCAATTTAATTCTTGTAACTAGCTTCCAAGGCTTTACAGGTTGTAATCTGATCCAATGTCATCCTTTAGATTTCTACAAGAGGCTGAAGTCAGGATCTTTGATACTTGTTAGTGCTAGGTTTAAGGGTGCACAAGCTGTACTGTTCTGGGGCTCTATTTTGGCTTTAGTTTTGCTGCATACTGTGTAGAATGAACTGAATGAGGGTCTAGCATATTTGTGTTCCCTAATCCTAGTGTTACAAGAAACTAGTTTGTTGAATTTGTTTTTTCCGGTTTTTTATGAATAGTTGATGTTTTACAGCAAGATTTTGGGAGCATCATCATTGTTACTGGTTTTCTCGTATCCTCTCATGAAGAGATTCACCTTTTGGGTAAGCATGGTGGCTTATTCCATTCCTCTAGATTTTACTTGATGTTTACTTGCTTGACCGAATGTTTTTATGATGGGCTGCAATGTTTTGTCATCTATGATGTCCAGCCTCAAGCGTATCTGGGTTTAACGTTTAACTGGGGAGCTTTGTTAGGTTGGTCTGCGATAAGAGGAAGTCTAGACCCAGCTATTGTGTTGCCACTGTATGCGAGTGGAGTGTTCTGGACTCTCGTGTATGACACTATATATGCACATCAGGTATGGCTCTACGAACATATGTCTGCAGTAATATTCTCTTTGGTATTTAAACCAATTAGTTAGCTTTCAGTAAAGGAAGTGTGTCTATTTTGATATCTCATACAGATTCTATTCTTTTGTTCCCTGTACTGAAAAATGACAGTGAGTGCACATGTAGGATAAGGAAGACGATCTGAAAGTGGGTGTTAAATCTACAGCATTGAGATTTGGGGATTCAACTAAGCTATGGATCACTGGGTTTGGAATTGCATGCGTTAGCAGTCTTGCTGTCAGTGGATTTAATGCCGATCTTGGTAAACTTGTTTCCCTTTGACCCGTCCAATTTCTTATATGTTAATTAGTTATGACAATGAAAGGATTTTTGCTTATTCTTTTACCTTCCCTCCCCCCTCCCACTTGGCAAACAGGATGGCCATATTATGTGAGTTTAGCAGCAGCATCCGGACAATTAGCTTGGCAGATTCAGACGGTCGACCTATCCAGTCGAGCTGATTGCAACAGGAAGTAAGATGTGTAGTTCACCCTGATTAAGATGTGTAGTTGTAGGCTTGAGTAGAACCCTGACTCAGCTGCTTCTTCATTTCCAGATTTGTGTCGAACAAATGGTTTGGCGCTATCATCTTCAGCGGGGTTTTATTCGGCAGACTCCTGCAGTAGCGATAAATAACACACCGAATACATGTACACAGGACTCAGGAGTAATGCTTGCACATCCCTGATCACAGGTCGAGGTGAAATATGGGAATGATGGTCGTGGAAGTGTCAAAGAAGGCTCTTGGCCTCATCATGGCTGGTGTCTAAGAAGGTAGAGTCGCAAAAGGCCCATAATTAACTGGGTTAGGTTTTCATTCATTAGTGACAAATCGATGGCAGAAAAGAAGGAGGATTGTTTTCCATTGTATCAGTTTAATTAAGAAAAACTTCTGATTCGTTCATTCAAGTAAGGCATCAATAACTTTTTTGGGAATTTGTTATAAACATAAGCTGATATTGATATTTGACAAAATGGTCATATTCTATTGGATGAATCATAGATATACATTTACTTGAAAAGAGTATTGCTTGCAGAACATGAACATCAAGCAACACACTAACTCGAATCAGAACTGCTATGAGTACTTCTAATAGCAATACAAAATTAAGAACATACTCCTTTCCACCTGCATGAGAGAAAAGTTTTAACGCGCATGAAATGAACATAAGAGTTATAAGTTAAACCAAGTTTGGCCTATAGCTAGCTACCAACAGAGGTTTCTCCAGCTTCAGTATGGGAAGATGTAAACTTGGTCGGATTTCTCTTCACCTTCTAGGCGTTGAACTTTCTATGATCATTCATCTCATTCTTACCATACTCGAATCATCTCATTCTTACCATACTCGAACTTTCCCACGGGAGGATGGGAGACTGCTTTCTGGCAGTAGATGCAACCGTTGCGGATCAAATCTACATGCAGAGCGAAATCAGCATTGTCATTAATCTTGTCTATCTATCTGTCTATCTATAAGCAAAGTTACTAAACATCCTAATATGAATGCAGTTATTGTTATCACGATGATGCTCGAATCAGATAGATACACACGGTAACTACTCAACTCGCGATTGAGGCCAAGATGCTGATACAACACAACAACCAATATGATATAAGATCGATGGGAGGCCAACCAACAAACAACAATCAATCTCCTACCCTATACAAAATAAGGGGATGATCATGATCTAATAAAATAAGCAAGCTAGTCATGCAGGTACCAAGTTAACAAACAAATATAAAAAATAAGATTAAAATAAAGAGTTAACAAATATGCTTAAACATCCCATAAACTAAATACTCATAATAAAAGACGGGGAGAATATTATGATAACACTCTAGGAGTAGTCCTATTCACGATCCGAGGGGTCATGTTTAAACTCCACTGCTCTCTTCAAAAGTTAAGTGTAGCTATCCCAAGAAAGCGTTACTGAAATCGACGAATGTCACCCGGACGTCTTCAATAACAACCGACAGAAGGTAAAAGCAGGCGGCCAGACGAAGTGATCAACCGTCCAATAAGATAGGATTAGAAATATCGTCATTCATAATGTCGTGGGAATCGATTCGATAATTCTAACCAGACCTTCGTCTTTGACCACGTCCATCTTGACGGGTGCAGAACTCTTGACCGGACCATTTTAATGACCGGTTGGTTGTTTCACTGGTCCACCCATGTGGTCTGGTCTGGTTTAATAATGAGGGTATAAAGGTAATCTTTCTTTCTTTGGGGTTCTTTATTATGAACAACATGCTTTCCAGTTTGCTTGGAGCGCCCTTCATTACTCTGGCACAGATTGGAAGAACAGCACCAACTGTTTAGTATGCCCCCGGACGCCGTCTCTCCCATGGTTTACTTCTGAAGAGGAGGCTTTTTTTCTCCAATTCACGGTGGTTCAACGTAGGGTCGTCGGGGAGACGCCGGATGCAAAAGTAACCCTCCTCTTTTAACAGAGCACTTCTATTATGATTTAAAGTACAATTTGAAGTTGTCTCATAACGTTAAAAATACAAATTCAAATTGTATCATAAAGAGAATTTTACATTTATGTTGCGGTACAACTTCAAGTTATTTTATAAAAACACAACTTTAGTTTGTATCATAAAACAATTTTACAAAAACAACATAGGTACAAGCTAAAATTGTATTATAATCGTAAATGTAAAAATTCAAATTATATCATAAATAAAATAAACAACCAATACTTTAAAGTATTGTAAAATTTCCTTCTTTTAATATCTTAATTAATTTTCAATAACAATATATAACAATATCGGGGGGCCTGGCATTGGGGAATCCTCAGCGGGAAACGCGGCGGGCAGGCCGGAGAAGTAGCATGGGCAAAAGGACGACATGCAGAGAGGGACGGCGGCGTAAATAATAAAAACACTATTCATCGGTAACCAACAGTAACTCTTTCAGCTCAGCTGTGACGTTTGTAGACAGTACTGAACAATAATTATGCCCGTATCTGATCAGAAACTGAGGATCCCCATATGAGCCGGGCCCCGGCCGCCGCCGAATTCCCCAAATCCTGATCAACACCGGTTCTCCGCCGCTCCTCCAGGAAGGAAGACGTAATCACCAGCTAGGCGCTAGCTAGGTAGATGTGGTCAAATAACAACCACCGCTCTCTTTGACTGCCACGTGGTAAATCTAGCACGCATGCATGCAGTTGCGCAGGTGTACAGTAACAGGGGGGATGGGGACGGGAGAAAAGCCAGCTCCCCGTCGAAATATCGTCACCATGTTCATGCCCATCCCCTTTTCTTTTTCTTTTTGTTCAGACGCGTATATATATATATATATATATAACCACTCAATTTTCCACACATAATTGCCGAAGATTAATGGGTAATAATAGCTCATTTCATGCTTTTCCACGGCTTTCTTGAACTATTTGGTTTTCGCACAAAATATATATCTCTCTCTCTAGCCAGTTGGAAGAGAGAGAGAGAGTCAAAGCTAGCTAGCTCGAGAAAGTCGTGGGAAACTATGAAATGTTTTTGTGTGGATTGCTTTAGTATGGATGCATGGTAAGGAAGGAAGACCGCGGTACTGGAGCTGGTAAACCTCGAAACCCTTCAAGTAGGTTTTTTTTCTTCTTCTTCCTAAACATGGCGGTGTGCCATTTTGATTAGGAGAATGTACATTTGGTTCTTTGAGAGTCCAGAGGAAAATGTACGTAGTAGTAGTAGTCACAGGCTCATTGCGCTTCGTCATCATTGAATTTTCACTGAATGTAGCATTGTTGGAGAAGCTATATATTAGGGTTACAAGCATGCTCATCCATTTTAAGAACATTAATGTTAGTATGTTACATAGTGTCTGCAAACTGCAATCATTTTTTGGTTTGTGAATATTGGCAAGTTTCTTTGCAAATATTACCATGCTCGCTTACAAACATTAGGAATTCTGCTTGTAAATTCTAGCAAATCCATTTATGTGTCGACATACAAAAACATTTTCATTAATTTTGGTCTTGGACAATGGACACACACTAAATTTTTTTATAAAAATAAAGTACTACTGGACCAAGGATAAGGAATTTGGTTTCATAAAATAAAAAGGATAAGAGATTTGGGCCTCTAATACGAGCCCGCTTTCTTGGTTTTTAGAAAGGCCCAAATAAGTAGACCGACTAGAACCTTATGTATAAACCCCGAAGCCCCAATTGGGAGCTTTCATTCTATACAAAAATTGCGAAGCTCGGCTGAAATCATAAAGCGGAGGTTTCATCCCCGAAGTCAGCGAACGAAAGAAAACTTTTTTTTCCCACCAAAACATCCATGGCGGCGAGCGTAGTTCCACCGGGGCGGGGAGCCCGCAGGGCGACCACCGACGACGACAAGCTCGTCTTCGAGACGACGGACGGCATCGAGCCGGTCGCCAGCTTCAACGACATGGGAATCAATAACAGTCTGCTCCGTGGAATCTACGAGTACGGGTTCGAGAAGCCTTCCGCCATTCAGCAGCGAGCCGTTATGCCGATATTGAAAGGCCGAGACGTCATTGCCCAGGCACAATCAGGTACCGGAAAGACCTCCATGATTGCCCTCACAGTTTGCCAGGTCGTCGACATCAACAGCAAAGAGTAAGCTGTTTTCCTCTTTTTTTTAACTTGCTTCCCCCCTGCAAACCCTAATTTTTATATTTACTTGGTTTTGTTTGAAAGATTAGCTTTTCCTAGATGCTCTAGGTTTTGAAGATAGCTTGAATGCTTTGCTTCTTTCTTTATGTTAAATTTGTAACGAATTGAAGCGGAAGTTTTAGTAAACTTAAAGTTTGACAAATTACACCCTTTTAAGAAGAGCTTCCTACTAAGCTTGTCCTGAGTTCATTGTGGAGCAGGCTTAGGCCGATTTATGAATCGTTGAATGTTATGATTTCCAGTCAGCAAAAAGTTTGCTGGAAAAGGGTTCATTGATGCTGGGGGAGTCTAAATTTCTTAAGGATGGGACGGTCTAAATTTGTTGCCGCGGACAAACACTTATTATGCTTTCCTTTTTTAGTAGCAAATTTCTGAGTTTTCGAGATATGGACAGTCATTGTTTGAAGCAGTGTCCAGTATTATTTTTCTTTCCAAACAACAGTGTCTGCTTCAAATTGCGTATCTCTGGTTGATGTGAATATACCGGGTCCTTTGCATTTCTGACTTGGTTCGCTTCTATCCGGCAGGGTGCAGGCATTGGTATTGTCACCTACACGGGAGCTGGCTTCACAAACAGAGAAGGTTATCCTAGCAATAGGTGGCTATTTGAACATTCAAGCTCATGCCTGCATTGGTGGAAAAAGTGTGGGTGAAGATATTAGAAAGCTAGAGCATGGGGTTCATGTTGTATCTGGAACACCAGGAAGAGTATGTGACATGATCAAGAGAAGGACTTTGCGCACTAGAGCCATTAAACTATTAGTCCTTGATGAATCTGATGAGATGTTGAGCAGAGGTTTCAAGGACCAAATATATGATGTTTACAGATATCTTCCACCAGAACTTCAGGTTCCCTCCTGATGCTTACTCACAAAATTTCCCATTTATGTTTATGGATGTGTAGGCTACAGCTATAGCTTTCCAGCTAAGCTGTGTGCGCTTCGACTTCCTATTGTTGAGATATTCCGTTCTCTTCCTACTTTTCTGAAATCTTTTATCCAATACTCTTAGGTTTGCTTGATCTCAGCCACGCTGCCGAATGAAATTTTGGAGATGACGGGAAAATTCATGACAGATCCAGTGAAGATCCTAGTAAAGCGTGATGAACTGACTTTGGAGGTATGTAGTTGTGTCATTTGTGTACCGAATAGCAATAACTCATAGGCCGAATTGAGATCATGGAACTTTTTGTTGCATCTTTGTGATGACAGGGTATCAAACAGTTTTTTGTTGCTGTCGAGAAGGAGGAGTGGAAATTCGATACTCTTTGTGATCTTTATGATACACTTACCATCACTCAAGCTGTTATTTTCTGTAATACAAAGCGGAAGGTAAGTTGCTGCTAAAACTAAAATATTTATGTTTATTGGTATGTGCTTGAGATCGACATCTTCAATGCAAGTACGTTTCTTCAGTAGTTTTTGACCTGTCAAAACTTTTGAAGATTGGTATTTGCTATCTGGTTTTGCAATAGATACCATATCTCTTACCCCCTGATGGCTGTGCACGTACACATGTTTCTAACTGCAATTTCACCCCCTCATATTCTGCTAGACCATATCTTTTAATAACGGCCATCAAGTTGCTGCTAAGTAGATAAAAAAAGTGAAAACTTGGAATTAAATGGTGGTGTTGATTGTTGAAGCAGAAGTGAGCTGCAAAACTCCAATTATGAACCCGATTGTGTTGCGTTTCCCTTCTGCCTGTAGTTTATAGTTAGGAAAGCATTTGTGGTATAATTCATTTCTCGAATAGGTATGAATCTGGTTTGATGCAAGTGGAAAAATTGATTGAGGTATCTGTAACAGGTTGATTGGTTAACTGAGAAGATGCGCTCCAGCAACTTCACAGTCTCATCTATGCATGGTGACATGCCTCAGAAAGAGAGAGATGCAATTATGAAAGAGTTCAGGGATGGCACTACACGTGTCCTCATCACTACTGATGTTTGGGCCCGTGGACTAGACGTTCAGCAGGTATGTTTCTTTCCTTGTTTCTTTCTGTTGATCATTTTAACTTTATTCTTGTAGTGAGCTTCCCTGGTGTTTCATTTGAGTTTGTCACCAATATCCTGTCAAAAAGCAGTAGCCTGGGAAACACTTGGTTCATTGGTGTGAATTGTGATCTTAAACTGTCGATCAAGTCTGATTGTGGTTGCGGTGACCAACTCTGCAGGTGTCTCTTGTGATCAATTATGACCTGCCAAACAACCGTGAGCTGTACATTCATCGAATTGGTCGGTCTGGACGTTTTGGACGCAAGGTTTGTGATTCCTTTCAACTATCCTGCTGATATATCTATTTTCAGGTTCTTTTTTCCCCAACCTGGTGAAAGGGTTGACATGCTTGGGTTTGAACTGACGCAATGAAATCATGTGTTAATTGTGCAGGGTGTGGCCATCAACTTCGTGAAGTCGGATGATATCAGGATTTTGAGAGATATAGAGCAATACTACAGCACCCAGATTGACGAAATGCCAATGAATGTCGCTGACCTGATATAGAGAAGGCTGTTATGGTTTGCCAGTGTGGGTGGTGAGATTTGATTGCTTCTCCAAGCTAGCTCGAGGAAGTGTGTTGGTGTTTGTTGTTTATGGTGCTGAAATGACTCCCTTTTGTTCCTGTGAGAAAGAGATATGGAGAGAGAAATGTGTACAACATGTGTTAACTTTTGGTGCGCGGAACGTTTCTTTTTGCTGTTTAGGATTTAGGGCATCCTCATGGTATAATGCAGTATGGGAATCTGAAATTCAAGTGTCTTCTCTTCTGTGTCCCACTCGTAACCTTCTTTTATGGTCTTATTAATTGCACTGCCTGGGTTGTATTAATTCAAGTTATATTGATTTTTCGTCCGCCAATCTTCGTGTGTTAGCATAGGTTTAAACACCAGGCTTTTCCTGTTCAAGTGCCTTACCACAGGGTCGATGATCGGAGTAACGAAGTTTGTACAAGGTTTAGCTAAAAGAGTGTCTAATTCTCGCTTCAGTTAGCTAAACATGTAGCTTTATACCATCTATACAAAACTGGAGCTGGAATCTAATTTTGGAGACCTAAATGTTGCCGCATTTGGTGATGTGAGGCACAAGCTTATGTCCAATAGGCCAAAATCGTCTATTACCGGTGGACGTAGTCTGACACCTGAACGAGCCTTTGTAATCTAATTTTTAACTACATTTTCGATGAATAACACAAGTACAAAACATGAAAGTTCATTTTCACCCAAAACTGAAACGGAAAACGCAGGTTTGATAAACTAGATGCACGGAAAACCCAGTTCTCGCAGCTAGCAGAAATGGTTGGGGTCCTGTCTACTTTGAATGAGAGGAACACCATCTTCCCTCCACACTATCCTTTCTTCACATAGTGCAGCGACCACTTCTTTGTATAGCTTATGTTCCTAAAGCATCCGCAAACAAGAATTATATATGCAAACTTCAGTAGTCCGGCAAGTCTGCCCATGCTTTACAGTTTACACAGAGAACAACTGAATAAAAGGCTACCTCTTTCAGAACTCTGGCAGCTAGGTCCTCCGGACTATCAGTTGAAAGAACTGGGACGACCATTTGAGCAAGGATACGCCCAGTGTCATAGTGCTCATCAACAAAGTGAATTGTCGGACCTGAGTACCTAACAAACACATTTGACAAGTAGAGATGGGGCGAACGAAAATGACAGATCAGGACACTGTTTCATTCAGTTCAATCTAATGCAGAGGTTGAATTTCCAGCTCCAGTTACCTTGCACCAGAGCTAATGACCGCTTTATGCACCTTCATCCCGTAATACCCTTTTCCCCCAAAAGCCGGAAGAAGCGATGGATGGATATTTAGTATGGCACGAGGATAAGCCCTGATCAACTCCACTGGTATAAGCTTTAGAAACCCAGCCAAGAGCACAAACTCAACTTCAAAGTTCCTTATCAGAGACAACAATATGAAGTGTAAACATCACATTTGCATCATGTTTACGCGAGGAAAGAAAATTCAATCCCTTGTCTTTCGGCAAAGTATGGAACCTGAGAGCATCCACAAGGCTAGTTGGGGATAATCCATCCGCCCCATCTTTTGTTCTAGGGAACTGAAGAACTGGGATGTCTTTGTTTCTGGCATACTCAGCACCTCCGCAGTCTGTAGACGTTCACAGAAAGATCTAACCATATCAATGATTTCAGGTGGTGAGGGTTTATCTTGGTTGAGATGCATAGTAAGAATGGAGCGAAGTAATTGCATTTCTGTGGAAGATTATTGATCGACCCAGAAACGAGCTACGAAGCCTAACAATGCTTGCCATTGATTTAAGAGCCAGCAGAGTAGCATTCATCAAGAGCAGAAGTGGGAGAGAGAGCAGAAGTTTTGAGCTCAGATAAAAGCTACAGCGGAAGAGACTGTTTACCAGTTTTATTGGTGACCAAAGCAACAATTTCACCATGAACGGATCCCTCGACACAAGCTTCATGAATCGATTTGAAATTCGACCCTCCACCAGATACAAAAACTGCTAACTTTTTCTTCGCAACCCCTGGTTTCTTCTTCTTCTTCTCTTCGGCAGAATTCTTGATTGATTCCCGACTCGCCCTAATGTTAATGCATTCCAGATTTGGTAAAAACCGGCTCTTTCTTGTCCTCGGAGAAGCTGAAAATTGGGCGTCTTCGAAGTAGAGCCAGCGGTGGGCTCGAGCGGACCAGCAACAAGGTAGAGCGAGGAAGGGTTTATTGAGGGCTTTTGGAACTGGTGGTGAGAAAACGGAATTCGAACGGAAATCGGATATGAAACAGCGGGAATCCATGTTCGGATGATCCAGAGGTCAAATCGCTGAAACCTAATTTTCCGGTGCACTTCTTCTCATTCCATTCCTGGAGCCTGGAAGTACGCGAAATAGAACCTTGTTATGATTCGACGGATGAAAGAAGCTCAAATTCAGGACACTAATAGGTGCCTATAGACTGTACTATACTTCTTCTGAGACAGGTTCCCGGCGGCGCCGGCTGAAGCTAAGCTAGAGCGTCTGTGTTTGTGCTGCAGCTCGAACTCTGACGGCGGCGCCGGAGTTTCCGGTGGTCAGTTTCTGATTCCGGGGTGTGTTATCGCGCTGAATGTTGTATAGGCTTGGGCCCAGCATTTAGTTAACTTTTTCGTGGCCCCTAAAAGCCCACAATGAACATAATAATCTTCAGAACCCTAGTGTGTATATGACTTCAAAATGAACATCACGCAATATTGATAAGGAGGTAAAGATTACAATGTAGTCAAAATCGCTTTTAAAAGCTTACGATTTTACGTTTTTAGGTTACTAAAACGCTTCTAATATACGCAGTTAATTTGATCAATAATTTCTCATAATACACATTTTCTTCTAATCACAACTCCAAAACTATCATTTTATCATAGAACTATTGAAACAAGCATCCCCAATCAATCTTAATGTGTCATAGAACGGATTGTAATAGGGAAAGGAGTATTACCAACTATCAAGCAATCACCTCTCCCAAATCTCAATGAGTACAAAAGAATATCATATAACGCAAAATACAATATAGGTGGATAAAAGATCGAGTCACGTAATGCTAGTTCTCAAAAGCTTGCTCATCTACTTATACCAACTTGAAAGAACATTACTTTTCTTTCTATGATAGAAGACCCGGACCCGTATAGAGAGAACATTACTTGAAACAACAAATTCTCCTTCCACAAAAGTTTGATACACAAGCAACATGTTAGCAATGGGAGCTTAACGCAAGTAGCATGATAGAATTCACCTTCAATCATGCTCTCTGTATTATAACTCTTGCTTTCCCTTCAAAAATTGGTTTGGCAGTTTGATACTACAACTACAAGCCCCCCAAAAATCTGCTCAGTAGAAGCAGGCATTACTTTTAAATCATGATATATTATCACTAAGACCCCCCTCTTAGCTATCTGTACAACGAAAATCATCCCCCTTCCTCAGAACTAATCCCCTCCAAAAAAAAAAAATACCTATCCATCCCACTGCATTCCCACTGTCAGTAACAACAAACAAAAAAAGACACTCTTTCAGAACTCCATTACCCTGGAAGTGAGGTTGAGCAAAGGCTCCAATGCACTTGCATCAAACTTCCTAGCAAACAGATGGCATATAGGGGTCACTCCCGAATTGTAAGAACACAGCGTTTGATTCATCCGGATCGATTGTATGAACCCTTCGGTGATATTAACTGCACTGTACGTTGCTGGATGCGGGCCACCCAATGACCAATCGACCCAAGTCACAGTTCGGTTAGAGTTCATTGATCCATGGAACATGTTGATGAAAGTTGGGAGGAAATGCTCATCAGGGTAGCAAGCAGGGGTGCAGTATTTCTTGAACAGCCTGTGGTACTTTGTGTCCGAGACCACATAGGCAGCTAAGGCCCGCTGCATCTCGAACCACTGAGAACCTTTCCTCCATTGTCTGATCCAGATGTACGGAAGCATCTTCCTGCTGTATCTGCCACGTCCGTACCGGGATGGATCATCATAGGCCTCCACAAACCCGTGCTCAGAATGGACGAGGTAGTTGTAGACTGTTTTGAAATTATAGACAGGGATGCAGCTCTCTGAGAGAAGAATGAACCGCTCGTTTGAGAAATCCAGCAGGGCATTAGCAAGGAGGCGCCTCTCAGCGTCAAGCAGTAATACTGATCCCCATTCCACATGCTGCAAAGGGGAAGAAAAAGAAGCACTTTAAGATTTGAGAGACATCTCAAGGAATAACTAGTTTAACTATCATGCTCTATACCAACTGCCCAACAGTTACTGCACTAGATTCTACTGTTTTGTATTTTACCAACCATTAAGTGCTGGATGGTATTTCACTAGCTTAGATATAAATTAAAGTGTATAAAGTCGTCAAAAGACAGAAGCATAGCAACTTTTGTAGTTTATTATCATCAGTTAAATAAAGAGATTCAAGTCCAACCTAAATCCAAATTTAATGATGTGATTCAGAGAAGCATGAGAATGATATGAAATCAAGCAAGCTCCAAACGTTCCCTTTCTAATCACAACATATTAACCATATATAACTGCAAGTTTTGTTTCCTTCTGTTAGTAAAACGAAGAGTAATCAATTATGTCTGTAATTGTCATCCATATGCCGCCCATAACCTAAACCAGAGTAATATGCAATTACATATCAAATCCATGCTCAAGCAAGATTTGAACCACAAAGTTCATCAAGACTACTAGCAATTCTCACAAGATTCACCCACCTGCCTACTGAAACTCAATGCCTACAAGCTATTGATATAGTCACAGTTCTTAATTTCCCTCACCTTATTCCACTAGTGTGATATGGAATAGGTAGTTGGAAAATGGTTCTCCTAAAACTGTTTCCGTGCTATCTAAGCTAGTAAGCTAAAAGGACACAACCAACATCTGTGGCATCATGACAAAGAAAAGTAATCCATATCCCAAACAAACTTCTCAGACAAGGGAGAAACAATCCATACCTTACTAGGAATCTGCCTTCCATAGAACGGAGAACCGCTGGAAACATTGAACACATAACCAGGATCGGTATGAACATAAATAGAGAAGTACTTATCATGGCCCCTAAAGAACCTCTCCCACAGAGGCAACAAGGGCAAAGGCCCTCTAGTCAAGAACATGAAAGCCACCTTAGGGACTCGATCAAAGGGATACTCTTCCTTCTTAGGAACCAAAGAAGCCCTCCAGAAAAGCTCTCGATCACTCATCCCATGCGTCAAGTTGTGCGGATGAAGAAACGTCTTGATGCTCAAACAATCAACCTTGCTGTCATCGTCACAAGACTTGCAATTGCAAGGCTCCGAATTTGTTGTGTTGCACTTGCTGCTGCTGCCATCAGATAAAATGCTCGTGGTAGTAACAGCAAAGTTGGAAGTGAACAGCAAATCCCTCTGTGAATTGAAGAGGCTGTTGATGTGAGTACTAGCTAGCAAGCCAAGAATGATCCCAGCAACGAATACCAGTAAGAATGAGAGAACTTGCAGCATTTTGAGCAAGCCCAGGTGGGTAATCTCAGAGCCATCTTCCCCTCTGTTGTGCCTCGCCATTCCTTTCTTGATCATTTAGTCAGTTCATTAAAACCCGCCGCGTCCTTCTCAAAAAAAAAAACCCCTCCTCTAAAGTTCACAGCTTTCCTGTGAATTCGAACTGAATAGAGCATAAATCTGACATAACACACAAAACTGAGGCGAACCCAAGATTAAGAATCGCAAGGTGAAAGAAACCCAGAGAGTCCCGAAATCCCGGGACAAGAAGGGAGGACTTGATTACTCCCAAAAGACAGAAAAAGCTCGAAACGAAAATCAGAAAGCGACAGGGCCTATTGGGTTCATCTTCTTCTGATGATCGAGTCAAAACAGTAAACGTCGCCGGAATCCCGATTTGATATTGTTTATGGGACGGGGAGTAAATTAGAGAAGGAAGAAGATTAGGGGGGAGCTTTGGGGATACCGGGAATGGAAAGCTGAATCAGACGTCACTAATGTGCGGAACAGACAATATGGAAACAAATATGAGGGGGGGAAGCGAGGGAAAGAGAATTTCGTTGGTTTCGGAGCAAGGGGGGGAGGAGAAGAAAACGACGGGCGGAGGTGTGTGGGAATCTCCGATACGAGACGGAGAAAGAGAGAGAGAGAGAGAGAGAGAGAGTGGAATTCTTGGATTGGAGGAAAGCAGCAGCGCACGTCTGGAGAGTGGATTGATAATTAAAAAAAATCGGCCACTGTCTTTCTCGTTCCCTTGCTCCTTCTTCTTCTCTTCTCCCTTGGGTTTTGGTTTTGTTTTTTTGTTTTTAATTAATGTTTTTGCGTGTCTAATCATGTTAGGATAGGATCATAGGAAATTTCAAATTAGGAATCTTCTTCATGTGTGTGTTACTTGTGTGACTGAGTGTGTATTATCTCTGGTTTCTCTTTCGTCTGGTCAGCGGTGGTTTTGACCTAAGAATCAACTTAGTTGGGCTGGGCCTGCTACAAGTCCTTGACCCGGCCCATGTAAATCAGTGACCAGATTCATTCAACATGGGTTGCAACTTGCAATAGAAGTTTATCCAAGATAAAGAAGAATTGCACTTGCACATATGAACAGGGAATGGGATGGTATTGGTAATGGTAGATTGTTTTTTATAAAAAAAAAAGTTTGAAGGGCCAAACTTCAATAAGTAATACCATAAGAAATTAATCACTAATGATTTTGGGTCACTTGAGCACATGGTGTTTGTTAAAGAGGCTGGGCATTAGTAGTAGCTTCTTTTAACCGGTGTAGTAGTTTGCCGTCTTTAATCTCGTCTCACCCTTGTGAGTTGTGACAGTCTAGGGCCCGTTTAGTATTGTTGCTTGTTTTTGTTTTCTGTTGTGTTTTAAGAAATTTGGAAAATCAAGAAAAAAAAACGTGTTTAGTTGGGTTTTTATTTTTTGTTGTGAATCAGAGTTGCACAACAAGGCCCAAATATGAGAAACAACAATTTATAGCTTTGGATCTGATTCTTAAACATGTTGCACACGGGATTTCTATTGGTTGGACGCTTGATTTCATTAAAACATACCAGTTTTCGAATCCCCCCAGAAGCAAAAAAATTTCTTTTTTTTAACACAACCCCCCCCCCCCCCAAAAAAAACCCTACTTCCCCTTTTTCATCATCTTCTTCTCGACAGAAACAGCCGCCCTTTTCCATCTTCTTCTCGACAGAACACAGCCGACACCCATCTTCTTCTCCCCGCCTCCGGCCGCCGCAGCCCACGCCGCCTCGCCTCAGCCCGCGCCGTCTCGCCTCCGCCCAGCGCCGCCTTGCGGACATATCTCTTTTCTGGTTTTTAGTTCTTATAGTAGTAACTAAACGCGTTTTTGTTTCTTGTTGTCAGCTTTCATGATTTTTCAGATTTATCAACTAAATATGTTTGTGTTTTCTGTTTTTTTCCTGTTGTGGTTGTACATCTGTTTACACAACACCACTGCAACCACAACAGCAACAAAATGATACGCCCCTAGTTAATAAGGTTGTTGCTAGCAATACTTTTTATGAACAAAACTCATTGTTTCATAGAAAAAGTATACTCATAATGTTATACAAAAGTCAATATAGTGTTACCTCTACATTTGTCTCGGATATCATGGACATCATTTCAGAATTTGCTCATTTTATCAATATCCAACTCTGGATTTTAACAAGCCATTGAGTTTCTTCAATTTTGATTTGAGCAATGGATCCTTGTTGGATCCCTTGAGGATTCCGACAAAATTCGGATTTTTGTGAATCTGCCTCGAGATTCAAGGCCACTAAACAAGTATTCCGGACTAATTATAACACAAATGGATCAAAACTCCATCACCCTGGAAGCGAGACCAAGCAGAGCCTCCAAAGCACTCGCATCAAACTTCCTAGCAAACAGATGACACGTAGACGCCACCCCATCATTATAAGCACACGACGTCGTCTGATTCCTCCGGAGCGACCGCACGAGACCCTCGGTCGTATTCCCCGCACCATACTTGTTCGGATGCTTCCGGCCCCGGCCCGAAGCCGACGACCAATCGGCCCACGTCACGGTCCGGTTCGAGGTCTCCGACCCACGGAACATGTTGACAAAAGTCGGGAGGAAATGCTCGTCCGGGTAACAACTCCCGTTGCAGTGCTTCTCGAACAGCCCGTGGTACTTTTCGTCGGAGACCACGTAAGCGGCCAGGCTCCTCTGCATCTCGAACCACTGCGATCCCTTCCTCCAGTGTCGGATCGAGATGTCGGGAAGCATGTTGTCGCTGTACCTGCCGCGGCCCGACCAGGTTGGATCGTCGTTGGAGTCGAGGAAGGCGTGTCGGGATTGGAGGAGTGGGGAGTGAATCAGTCGGTAAGAAATGCTTCAGAAGGTTAAAAGACAGGAGAAAGCCGAGCGGGCGATGAGTTGTAGTGATTCATTTCTCTTTTAATCTATTATGAGAAACTGGTTGCGCGGCACTTCCGAACAAGGCAGACAACCAGGAATATTTTTTTGAAAGAAGACAAGTAAGACAACTAACCTTCTTCTCTTTTAATTTATGAACAGCTTATTAAATTTTGCATCACCTAGAGAAAGTTGGATTCAAATCCAAACTGGCGGAACAGTGATGCAAAATTCAGGGAATGCAGCAGCAGGGGGTCTCCTTCGTGGCCACCTTGGAAGATGCCTTGACGCCTTCACTTGCAACTTGGGGAGCTGCACAATTACCATGGCCGAGCTTAGAGGAGCAGAAGTTGGGCTGCAAAGAGCGTGGGAGAAGGGCTTTCGCAAGGTTGAATTGAACCTCGACTCTTTAACAGAAAATCAACATCATGAAAAACTTCGAAGATACGGATTACCGACATTGACTTATCACAGGCACGCATTGGGAAACTTTTGAATTTTGATTGGGAGGTTAAAATCTCCCATGTCTATAGAGAGGGAAATTGCGCTGCCGATTTCTTGACAAGCGACGGTCATTTGGCCCCTTTTGGTATACATTCCTTCAATGAGCACGAACTCAATCTTTGTAATGGTTATTGTATGACTCCATAGATCGTTGCATCGGTTTAATGAATTAGAACGCAGTCGTCCGCCTTCCTACCAAAAAAAAACACTTTTATCTAAGTCGGGACCTGACTTTCCCTGTTACTTTTCCTCTTGGGGTGCGTTTCGATAAGTGTATTTTTAATGTAAGGTATTTGAAATACTAGCATTTGAAATGGATGTATTTGAAATATTAGCATTTGAAATACATGTAATTCAAATTCGTTGTTTGGATACTTATTTGTAATTTGTTTGTATTTTGTATTTTATGATTTTCAATTTCAATTTTTAAATTTCTGGCCACTTACTACAAATTTTGGTAAATTACAGTTTGGTACCCAAATTTATTTTTTCTTGCAATTTAGTACCCTAAACTTTTAAAATTTTACAAAACGGTCCTGAAATTTTGATGGTAAAATTACATTTTGGCACCTTTATATGTTTTGCCTCACACTATAATACCTAAACTTTTCATATTTTACAAATAGGTCCATTCTTTTGTTAGGAGGTATTTCAAATCACTAGTTGTTGAAATGTATTTGGAGTTGACAAAAAATACACTAGACATGTATTTGGAAATCGCCCCATGAATTTGACACAAATCCAAATACCAAATGAATTAGTATCCAAACACATGATTTGGTATTTAGAAATCCAAATCACAAATACCAAATCCAAATCATTGTATCCAAACGCACCCTTGGTCTCTTTGTTTTCCCATAGTTAGGATCAATTTAATCCTGTGCTCTGTAGGCTTTTGTATAAGGGCATTACTATTCGTCGCCCTAAAATACCTTATTCGTCGCCCTAAATTTTATCAAAATGACTCAAATATCCTTAGTTTAATATTTATTTTCAAAACATATGAACACTAAAACAAACACATACAACTATACATACGACACCATCGTCGTCGGCGGTGACCTTTCTTTCTCCTTCGGCCGCTCTTCCTCTCCTCCGCCAAAAACCATGAATCAAAACACAAAATTACAATCGGAAACCTAAATTGCAAAGGTAAACATGCAAAGCCAATAAATGGAACACGAGATGAGAGGGGAAGAAAGCCGTTGAATGATAAGGATGAGGATGATCCTGATGCCTTGGATGATATGGATCAAGGAGAGGAACTGAACACAACATCTGAAGCCAACCGCAACTCACCTCTTCTCCCCTTCTATCCCTTCTTTCGCCGCCGAAACTCCACCTGACCAAGTATTGGACAAAATCAACTTGGAATCCGTCCTAGTCTCCGGTCGACCAAGTATCGGACAAAATACACTTGAGGTGGGTAGCTGCCGGCGAGAAGAATCCGACAGCGGGAACAGCGCCCGAGGACAGTGAAGCTCGGCGGCGGCTGGGCAGGGGTAAAGAATTGTTTATTTTAGGTTTTGGTTCGAAATTGGCCCAAAGGGTAAAAGTGTCAATTTGATGTATTTTAGGGCGATAAAATTTGAATTTTAGGGCGACGAATAGCGATTCAGTTGTATAATCGTTTCATTTTAATAAATTCATTTCGCCCTTACAAAAAAAAGCAAGATACCAGATCTGATTATGCATTTGGGCACACTCCTGGTGTGCCGAATACATGACGTCCACATAAGCTACACCAGTGAGTCACCAACGGCCAGAGCATCTAGTGCACCAGCTTCAACAGATCCATAATAACAGATAACACATGGCTGTAGGTTTAGTACAAACGAATCAGAAATACAGAATTATGTGAAACGAATCAGAAATACAGAATTATGTGAAAATCTTACGCCACTACAGCAACATCAAAGTGAATTTAACAATGACCAGAAAAGAAGGCTGGGAAAAAAGAGGTCCTTCAAGCCAAAGTAAACTTGCAACACTATGGCATCATGTGTAGTACGGTACTGAACAAACAAACACCTTCAATAGCTGAAACAAATAAACTCAGCGCGACTAACTCTTGAACAAGGAAAGAAGAAGAAAAGAAATCAAATCACGAAGGCGTAGGTAGCTCGTACAAACAAATATATGGCGAGCTACCTGCGTCGCAGTTCCTAAATTAATCGAAATGATCACACACCCTAAACCCCAAGCCGTTCAGGGTACACACCAGAGGGGTAAAGAAACACAGAGAAGCGATTGATATTACAATACAACAACGGGAATAGCCTAAACCAAGTTCTTCCAACAAAAACAATATACACGACTTACCATATTCACATTTTACAAAACCGTGTTGATGTGTAGAGCTTTAAGCAGCGAGGTAGCCATTTGTTTTACCAATACCTGACCACCGGAGCTTTGGCCGTCTCGTCGTTCCTCGATCAAGTTCTGAAGCTTCTGAGGCAAATCATTCTCTACGATCAATTGCTTCGGCCGAGGGTGATGCTCGTATACAGCCTAGGATGAAGGGAAAAGAAACGCCAAGTTAAGCACATTTGTTGTAAACAAAACGGGTAAAAGACACATTTGGTCACTGAGATTTACTAAATCGTGTCATGTTTAGTCACTAGAAAAATTTAAAATCAATTTTGGTCACTCGGATTACTAAAACAGGTTACATTTAGTCACTCGAATTACTGAAACATGTCACATTTAGTCACTCCAATTACTGAAACATGTCACATTTAGTCACTCCCGTTTGTTTCCGTCCAACTCCATTAATGGAGTTGCACATAAACTAACGGGAGAGTGACTAAATGTGACCTGTTTCAGAAATTCGAGTGACCAAAATTGATATTAAATTTTTTTAGTGACTAAACATGACACGATTTAGTAATCTCAGTGACCAATTGTGGCATTTACCCTCTAAACAAAAAGGCCACTGAAGAGAAGCTTTGACAAAGACAAAACGATGCTTGCTTCTCATTCAATTGCTGGGTGAGTGTATAAGTAGTTGAAAGAACATCCATGCAACACAACAGGGAACAGTAGAGACTCTACCTTTATTAGTTTAAGCAAGTTGAGACGAGCTATGGCATCCTGATGGTCCAGCCTTGCAATGAGCAATGGTGTCAAACCATTAACAGCCAGCGTAGTATTTATCCGTGATGATTTCCTGCACATTTAGACCAGGCGACACATCGAACATGGAAAAAAATTTGTTAAGAAGACAATGCCATACAGCGGAAAGGGCAAGGAAAACAAAAAACCATTTTAGCTTGCTTCAATTCTTAGATACAGAAAATGGCATAAAAAGTATAAAAGCAAACCACAAGAAAACAAATCACTTACGTGATGATTTTCAAGAAAGGCTCGAGGATATGCACAAACTGTTGCTCAGGGCAGCTCTGGAAAAACTTCACTAGCTTGTGAATTGCATCCTTTTTAAGCAAAGCTTGCTCCACTTTGCGGTTGTCATTGTCATGAGCCAAGCAAACAGCAATGGAGTCCAATGCTGTCACAGACCATGATGCATCATCCAGCAGGCTCAAATACACATCCAATCCACCATGGGCCCTTAATTGCTCTCTGGAATTCCGGGATGCATGAGCCATGTCGCACAGCAGAGGCAATGCATACTGTTTTAAGCGAGATCCTTGCATGATAAAATTCATCAGGTGAGGAATGATTCCATTTTCAGCAGCTTGCTCCTGTCTCCTCTTGTTTATCTTACACAGATTAAAGAGAGCATGAAGGACCTGCAGAAAATTAGAGAAAAAATTGTGATACAACATTGGTTCCATGATATCTGAGTGATTGCTCTAATACAAACAACAGGCAGTATGCCTGATAGGAATGAGCAAGGATTCACTTGACCAAATCAGACAAATAGATATTCTGAACGAGTGGAGCTAGATGAAAATAAATTCAACTAGGTTTCGATTCTCAAAATTCAAGGGGGGTTTTTTTTTGTTCCGGTTCCATGGCTTCTCTTAAGAACATTGGAAGAAACGGACTGAACTGAAACCACACTGAACCAAATTGGATGTAATGCACTTTCAATCCAATTTCCCCTTCATTTTTTATTTTGTTCTATGCCGATTCAGTCAGATTCCAAAATTGAATTGGATCATTGCCCGTCCAAAATCAAGCCTTGAGATGTGCGGTTTGCAGTTGTTAGGATTGCTTAAGCGATAGAAAAGCATGTCATATTCACTGCATTTATTTTTGTGTGTGTGTGGATATTTCCTCATTCTTCATGTCGGGAAACCTTACCTCATCATGCATTATAAATAAATAAATAAATAAATAAAAACCTTACCTCATCATGAATTTGACCAACAAGAGGTCCATCCTTCAGTTCAAGGTTTGGGATCAAGAACTTAATTGCATCAGCCCGCTGAAGGTTCTCTAAGCAGTTGGGATCACAAGACAGGTTGTTGATGCACTTGAGGATCTGAAAGTTG